AATGGCAAACACCTTCTGGATCATCTGCCAAGAACGTATATGAACAGGTCCCAGTCCGAGAAAAGGATGGAAGGATCCTGTTCATATGGACCTGTCGTCAGACAGAACACTAAATAAATAAAAAAATAATTGGACGTTGCCCGCCACGATCTCGTAAACTCTCACAAATGTGCCCGTAGGTACAAAGAAGGTTGGGGACCACTGATGTACAATATCATTTAAACCTTTTTATGAGGTGAATCCATGAAATAGAATATAAAATTTGTGGAGTCCGATTCACGTAGTTCACGAGAGGGTCCAATACCACGGAAATTAACATTCGGGTATCGTAACAGAGAATTTGTTGATCTTTAGAACTGGGAACGGTTTGGTTTCAGCGTGCGTCGTGGTGTTGACCCGGATGCAGGCCGACACGATACAGACCTACGGCGCGACGCTCCGCGGCAGAATCCCAGAGGAAGAACAGTGGAGAGACGGAAGTTTTGTGTTGCTCCAGCTCGTCAATGGATTAAAGACTCTTCAAGCTCAAGGCATCGAGGAGGCTCCTCTGTCGCTGTCGAGCTTCGTGCTGTGTCGCGAAGAACGAGACCTACAACCGAGGCTCTGCGTCTTACAAGTACCGGGCACGGGAGACAGCGAAGATGGCTCCCTCTGTCAATGTGCGTTGGCAGCTCTGAGGGAGCTCCTCCCCACAGCCGCCGTCACTCCGCTCATAAGCGACCTGTTGCACTGTGAACGGGCCGTGTCTCTATCGCAGGTTAAGTCGGTGTTGGAGTTCTCGTTGTGGGGTCCAGCGGACGTGGCGTTAGGAGCGTCGTCTTGCGACCGGGAACTTGTATTGCAACGGTGGCTTGACCTTGAAAGGGCCACAGTGCTTCATGGTCTCGTACACACGCGGGTAGAACTGACGGTGTTTGAGGAATGTCATTTGCTGTTTCTGGTGAGAACTAGTGCGAAGATTATGTGCGAGGCGTCGGTTTTACTGGATTCAAATAGCGCCAGTGGCCCGGAGACGACAAGCTTCTGAAGCGTCCGAGGTCCTCCGCGGATTCCCATCCCCGGATTAAATTGAATCCGTGACGTAACAGCTCCAGAGAGCCAAAGCCGACCTCAGGTTTACATGCCTAAGCAGAGGTGAACTATCATCTAACCAGACGAAACCCCAGCCATTTCTACCTTTCCTGACCCCAATTTCCTCACGATGTTTGGCTTGGCACCGGTTCTACTCCCCCCGAGACTCGAACCAGCGCTCATTTCGTATCGCCGGTCCGAATCGTGACGCCTCAGACGACGCGGGACACATGAATTATATGTGTGTTCTGAATACAGTGTCTTAATATTGTTTCGAGTATAGTTTTTTTTATGTTTTACGAAACAAAATTTTTATGTTATACAAATAATTTGTCAACTTTTTTTTATATGTTAAATAAAAAAAAAAAGTTATGTAGATTAAGAATTTTTGTCCTGCAGACGCCACAGTTGAAGGACGGAGCTTTTTTTTTTGGAGTTAATGTAAATCAAAACCTTGTTACGCTACCATCTTTGACATTTGAAACGGAGAGCTGTAGAGGATTGGGGATGAATTTAAAGAATGGGATGAAATGCAACGTGGCTTATTTCTCCTTGATTTGTCTGGGAAAACTTTCAGAAAAGACTCGGGGTCACAAAGTCGTAGACCTGGATCGAGAACAGGTTAAGTTTAAAATTTAGATCGGCGGTCAACCACCGACCTTAAGAAGTGGTTGAAATACTTGCCATATATTAGCTTTTGTTTCGAGTAATTTGAATTTTCTCACTGTCAGGTTACCATCCTGCATGGGTCAACCCAGATGATGAACGTAAATACAAATATATTAAGTCTGAGACGGGATAATATCAAAACGTCAAATTTGGACGATGACGAGATAAAAAAGAAATAATACGCTACGTCTCGATTTATTTAATTTTAATTACAGGGCGTATGATCTAAGAAAGTATTGAAATTTGCAATGGAATGATCTTTCTAATATTTTGACGTAAATACGTCTATATTTTAGGGTCAGTGTCATTCGGCAAAAATGTGTTACGAAAAAGTGTAACAATGGTTTATCAACAAATAAACAACCATGGTTACCTAAATTATTTTTTGTTGGGCAAGGCCGTGGTCTAGGCAACCCGGAGTTTTCCTCCGGGGGCTTCCCCGGTTTCTCTGTGGCATCCCAACAATTACTCCATTCACCCCCAGAAGAAGGCAATGGCAAACCACTTCTGGATCATCTGCCAAGAACGTATATGAACAGGTCCCAGTCCGAGAAGAGAAAAGGATGGAAGGATCCTGTTCATATGGACCTGTCGTCAGACAGAACACTAAATAAATAATAAAATAAAACTTATCGACAGTTCATACGTAGCATTTACGTTCGATATTATCCAAGATTACTATCTTCTCGGATGTACAGGATGGGAAGTAAGTAGGCATTGAGAAATGGTTATAACCTCTATATTTCCAATGTATAGAGATTATTCAGACGTGCATTTATTGGTATTAATGAAAATTATTGCTAAATTACGTAAGGAAGGGGGGGGTTGGAAAAATAATTTTTTTTTTCTCAATGAGGAAGGAAAAATTTATGCAAGTAAATACAGTAATGTATAAGCAAGTTTCAATTTTTACATAATATATTCATATGTTTTTTTTCATGGTATTGATATTCTTTTGTTTAATATAAATTATAAGCCCACATGTAGAGGTCTCACTCACGTACAGTTTTTTAAGAATTTGCAGATTGTGTTGGGGGCATTTCAAATTTTATAAAAAGGCCTCCTGTGGACGTGGCCGATTTCATCCTGCTCACATAATTGGCGTGTCGGTATAAAAGAACTCTGCAAAATAGTTGATGCCATCAAGTTTCCTGACTGGAAGGCACAGTGATCGGACTAATTCTATCTTAAGATTTAAAATTATACGTTTATTGTTTTTCACTGTACATTTAATAACGAACCATTAATCAATTAACACTATAATTAACCGTAAATTAGTTCAATCAAAATATTACGCAAATAACTTTTTATGCATTTGATATTTGATGGATAGAACTGTACTTGTATGAGACCTCTGCTTGATACAATGGAGATATTAAAACAATTAATCACAGATCATTTGGAGACGTCACACATTCTGAACACACACGATCGCTGTAAGAGCGAACACACAGTCGAACAGTACGACAAACATCACCACAATTAATATGTACAAGTACACATCCTCTGTTCCGCCTTCGGAGCTGAGAATGCACAGCGTTATGATTCACTGGCGCTTATATTAAATTTTATTTAAATTATGTAAGGATATAAAATTGGATTACAAACATTTTAAAATCGTCCCGAACGCGAGTTCTGTAGCCGAGATTCAAAAACCGCGGGCTTCGGGGCATGGATCGTTAAAATACGAAATAATAATCTTATAAATTACTTTGTTGAAAGCTGAAAAATTATATTAAAAAAAAGAAAAGCTTGCCTGTTGGTTCAGGTAAACACATTTATTGCCACGAAAAACGCAGACAGAATTTCCTAACCTCAAAACTTATTTCTCACGCTGAAAATAACAAAACAACATCAACGCAGCGATTTTTTTTTTTTTTTTTTTTGGCAGAAAGAATATTCAGCACAGACCAGTTAATGCGTCGATACGACATTATTTTACGAAGGCAGTGGAATTCAATTAAAGAAAGTTTATGTAAGGGCTTAGAACAAAAATTATCGTGAACTTTGTCGGTGCTGTAATTTGACAGCCGTAACTGCGTTGTATTTGTATTTTTTAATCATAGCATGAGTAGTTTTTTTTAGATGTGTACGTATAAATTTGGAGCGCACACCGTAAACAGACAAAATTCAAGTCTTTGTGGACCACAAAACAAATTTCAGTCTTAAAGCTTATGAAAAAAAAAACCACGATCAAATCAGAATATGGAATGTGGATAACTGGAATTGGCTACTGGTACTGCCTATTTCTCAAGTGATTACCGAGTGTGTAAGACGTCGAGGTCAGTTTTGCATTTGATAAATTTTTTAAGTGGACTGTACCTCGTGTGTTTCGGGACTCATATAAACTAAATACTTTGGCAGGAGATTTCGTACCAGAATTTCTAGTTACATTTGTCATCAACTCCCTTTGTCTTTAACTACTGAAGGATACAAAGGATAATATAGTAAAACCTTTATAAACTAGAACATGGATTAAATGGGAATCTTGTCTTCATCAGAAAATTTCTGTTTTCTTGAAAATACGCCGCGAAAATCAACATTAAAAACTCTCCAGGAAACAGAAATTACATGATGACAAAATGGCGGAAAAAACAATTGAATATTTCTTCTACTTCCGGTCCGTATTCGGTCCATGGCCTCCTCAATTCTCCTCTTACGTTCGGTCCTATCCTCCGCTGCCTTTGAATATTTACTATTCTATATTCAAGGAGAGCCATAGAGCTTTTCCGATAACATATAACTGTAGAAACGAGAAAAAATCAAATTTCTTCGCAAAGTAAATATGTACATTTTCAGACTAGTGGCTTTGCCGACATATCGCGTAGTAGAAGCTTCGTCACTATACGACAAACCAGTAAAAAGAAAAAAAAAAAAAGAGAAACACGAAAGAAACAACACTTAGAACCCCTACTAGTTATACAAATTTTATACAGGAGTATTGCATATCGCGGAGAATTAGCGTAAACATTAGATATCTTTACACTGTAACTGTCGATACAAACAGGGGAACAATCTGAGACTCGTAGGTCGCGTATAAAAGAGAGAAAGTATTCTGTTTTGGCACGTAGAAAATCAAAATACTTTTTTTTTTAGCTATGCATAGAAAACAATCAAATAATTTGATACACATATCGTGTGCAGGGGGGATTGTAAAAATGTGGCAACACTGTCATATAAAATGTCTTATGAAAACATGTTTGCACTCTTTGACTACCAGTACTAAATATTCTGAACACTGTCTTGTACGCCTTTTGTATATTTCAACAATGGGAATGAAAACTGAACTATCATCAGTTTTACCTACGACAAAAAAGGAACAGACTTTAATTGGGCGTAGATGCGACAATGTGGCACTGAACCACTGACGTTCTCATTGCATTTCGAGATACATGTACAACATTATTGTAGTATCTCAGTAAATAAGCTGCCATTCAAATGTAACTACGACACAACATTCACTTCCCTAGGCGATGACGTCACTGGTAGCAGTGTCGCTCGATCGTCCTTTCGCGCTTCGCTAGTCGCTTGTCTGATGGCTTCCTTGTACGGGCCTCGTTTCTTTTTGTTGTATCTTGTCTGTGAAAAGAGTAGACGTCCAACTATTTTACAGAGTGAAAGGAGAGAGCGTAATAAGTTAACATTATCGTCTTCCCTCTTAATAACTTCTGAAATGACTTCACAGTTTTCATGAAATGTTTAACCTTCGTACGTCTCGTGGTAGCGGCAAATTCAAAAGTGAAACTGTCATAAGCACAGGGAATTTTATATAATGACGGCTCTTCGAACGTCTGTTAAAATTATTAGCTTCACCATGTCTGTCTGCAAATAACAAATTGAGAACTACTGAATCAATTTTCATTAAATTTGACATTTGGGCACCTTTACTAAAATTTGTCATTGCTTTCGGATTTTGGTTAATAGCAGACATTTTACGACTAGCTACAAAATCTTCCATTAATTACGCACTACTGCATGCTGACAGATGAATACAATTAAATGAATGAGTTTTTTTTTAAAAAAACCTTGCTTTAAAACATACGTATAAAGAAGGCGTGATCGTCCGTTTAGAAAAGTTATAAATTCTGAAACAGTAATCTTATGAGTTTATTTTGAGTGTGTCTCATTGTTTTGTTCTGTCTCATTGTTTAGTTGTCTCATTGTTTAGTTGTCTTATTGTTTTGTTCTGTCTCATTGTTTAGTTGTCTCATTGTTTAGTTGTCTTATTGTTTTGTTCTGTCTCATTGTTTAGTTGTCTCATTGTTTAGTTGTCTTATTGTTTTGTTCTGTCTCATTGTTTAGTTGTCTCATTGTTTAGTTGTCTTATTGTTTTGTTCTGTCTCATTGTTTAGTTGTCTCATTGTTTAGTTGTCTTATTGTTTTGTTCTGTCTCATTGTTTAGTTGTCTCATTGTTTAGTTGTCTTATTGTTTTGTTCTGTCTCATTGTTTTGTTGTGTCTTATTGTAGGACCACTGCCACCGGGTAAAAACCCATTTGCAGTTAATAATAAATAATTTCAAATAATAATAATAACACAAATACCTTGAAAGTCTCTAAAAATGGGCTAAGCTGATCACAGGGCATTAACGAAGAAGTGGATGAGCCATACCAGGCCACGTGAGCCTGTGGTTCTAGCGAAGCTCCATCGTCCTTCCGAGATACCGTGATGCTCAGTACCTGCCAACACACGAACGTAGACATTTCGTTGGATTCGAGGTCTTCGTGGCAGTGAGGCCAAAGATGGCTGTCTTTTGGGTTGTAGCACCATATAGTCTGGTGGACGTTTATCAGTATTTCAGAGGTCCTTGCTGCCTCCATCATCAGGGCGATGACGAACACTGGCAAACTTTTACCAGACTACACGGCGCTACAACAATTGAAAGAGAGGGCAGAACATTTATCTTCATCTACCTCTGAAATAAATATATGGATATTGCGCCAAATCACATTTATTTTTAATTATATAAAATATATTCAAAATCTGCCCAGATATAGTACGCTGGAGATGACGAGTAGAATTAACTTAAGATGAAAGTTTTGTCGCTTCGCCCATGTGAAGGGATCAGGATTTTTCCGACAGAAATCAAACCTTACGTAAGTCATTGGCCCATGTCACGAATTCATGATTTTTTATCACAGTGATATATTTTATCATCATCCTGCTTTACTTGACTTTGTTATATACTTAGCAAAATGGTTCCTGTTTGTATGTCCAATGCCTTCCTCAAGGTCAGCTTCTAGTATTGATCCCTCCACTGCACACAACTCATGTAGGCTACCACAAGCTTCTCGGCATATAACAGGGTAAATATCATAGCAGTTGGATGCTGGATTTTGAATACGGAGTGGCAGAAATTTTTCTGAACTGCAAATTCTCTTATAGTCGGCGCAGTAGTTTTTGGCCGGTGGAGAATCTAGCGGAGCTGGCGGACGGGCCTAGTCTGTGTACCTGAGGTGGCACGGTCAGCGCATTTCTTTTGTTTGGGCGTTCAGTCACAGCATTATACTATCGCAAAAGAGACTCGCTCCCAGCCTTCCCCTTGAAAATTCCACCGGCCAAAAACTACCTCGCCGACTATACCACATACGTAGCAGAGATCTATTACGATGATAAATTGAAGTGATTCAGATGGGTGTAGCATGTAGCATGCGTGGGAGAAAATAATTAAACAATAACTAAGATAAATAAGGTGTCATGTTATGAACTAGAGTCCAGTGGCTCAAGATAAGGTATCGTAACTGGATTTTGAGAGCACGATAATTAATATTTGCATTTAATAAGAACAGGGATCTCCTTGATGAGGTATCAGTTTTTAAAGAAATCACCCAGGCCAAACGTTTTTGAATTTACGTCGTATCACGTGGGAAACGAAAATGATCAATGTTTACGGTGAGATCCATACGAAACGCTGTGTTATTTATGGTACGTATGGTTACCACTGGGCTTCAAGGTGATAAAAGCATCCCGCCAGTTGCTTCAATATGAAAACAAATCAGGATCAACGGTACATACTGTAATGAAATTAAAATGTCAAGGACAGAGTCCCTTTCACTCAATACGACAATACTAGTGGGCGAATTGATACATCCAGGGCCGCCGTGGGGAGACAATGTTTAGTGCCCAAACATTCATGGGGGGCAAACAGACATTTATTTATTGTAGCAAAACCTCTAAGCACTACTTTTTTCGATTATATCAGGAGTTCCCAAACCCTTTATAGACGCGGGGCGACATTCACACTTTTGTATCGCCTAAAATAAAATAAAATTAAAATTTATTGGATCGTAATAACAAAAACCCGAAACCTTGTCGCTCTGCTACAATATCTGGGTTCCTGTATGGGGCCTGAAACCTTAGATGAAAATTTTGAAGGCCACGTACCAATGTGATTCAAAATATAATTCGGCTGGTACAGCCAGAAGACACTAATATGTTTTTTCTAACCTAAAATTTTTCCCGTGGATCACTCACCGTAATGGATATTGTTCCTGAGAAGCTATGACTCTCTTATGACGCTTAAATGATGACTCATTCTGTGAAACTTGCCTTTCACGACGTTGCATGAAACAGGTCCTGATCCGTGGACCATAACCGGATCGAGACACGTTTTTGCCTTGGTTATTTATACAATGGACAGCTGTTTTGTGTAAGCCTACATATTTTATAAACTTGGTTCTCTGCGATTTGAAACATCCGTTCAATTGTTGCCGATACAAATCTAGTCACTTTCAACACGAAAACACTTATAATAATGGGAACGAATTCAAATATAGTCAGTGACAAACACGTATATGTATTGTTGCAAAGCTATTCAAATTGCACAAAGAAATGTTTTTTTTTCATTACGACTCTGCATATCTCATTGTCGTTCACGTACATTTCTTGCCGATGTAAACGTATTATCTACAGTGACCTTAAAACCTGGAAATACTGTGAACGAAATCAGTCACAAAACTCGTTTCTGGTTTTACAATTCGCAGTTGCAAATTCACACTACATAGAAATTTAATTAGCTTTCCCCACCAAAAAAATTTTTTTTTAAAATGTTTTATGAGATCAATTTTTGAACAATCATTTTTTTTTTGAGGTTTGTGTTGGTGTTACATTACGAAATGTGGTCCGTTAAAATGTGACGTCATGCATTCTTGAGTGGTTAACCAATGTCGCGCCTGCGCTTTTATGACGACACGTCTCGACACAGAAATCCACATTTTCATTACCGGGGAAAACATCAAGATTAATATTTTTTCTTACTAAGACGGTTCTATTTTAAGTGTGTCGTCTGAGAACGGAGGAGGATCTCCGTCTCTCTCTCTCTCTTGGGACATTTTCATTTTACTTTCATGCCCGAAACTGTCTGCATTTCTTGAATCAAAATAATTTTCTAATTGCTATTTCTCGTAACACGCCAAAGTTCAGCAGCGTCCCACGTGATTTAGTAGCCAAGAGATTAGCGTAAGAACGACACATCAGAGAATAATTATGAATGACAAAAGGCACGAAAATAGGCAAGTGGCCTTGTGAAAAGGCAGTCCTCCCCCCATTCAATAAGTCCTGGTACCTTCCAGAAAATCCAGTCTTTCAGAATTGTTTCTGAATCAGTGCAAACCGTAGGGAGTTCGAAAGATAAACAAACCAGTAACGAGAAAATTTCATCCATTTTTTTTACCCAGTGGGAAAGTTTTTAGAAGTTAAAATAATTCCTGTCGTTACTAAATGATATATGTAGTCTCGTTTTACGAAAGCAGATTAAAATTTACAATAAATAAAAAAACACGAAGGCCAACGAGGTGGCAGGACGTAGAGCTGTCACGTAATTTTAAATGTGACCTCAGATTGAGAGGAATAATTTTTCTTTTTTGGGGGCCCGGAAGAACAGTTATCTTTTAAGTAATTTTGTTCGCCACAGCACGTGGATTCAAGCCAGGCATTCCGACATTCAGCACCGCAAATGTACGTTTGCCCGTTATCGACTGTAGCCCCCCCGTGGTTATGAATTATCGATCTGTTATTCCGTCAGACCAGCGTTTATTTGCATTCCTGATTATTGTGCATTAAATGTGATCGATTGAATCTGGACGTCCATTCGACGATTTCAGGCCACGACTTTGCGGGTTCTAAGCTCACAACAACACTTAATCACAATACTGGAGCTATATATATACTCTATTTTTATCGCCTACAAAACTATCACAAAAATGCTAGTCGACTATAATCCAACTTTTTGACTGTGAAATGATATTGTTCAAACAATCTCCTAAGTTCCACGAAAAGGTTAGAAGAAAAAAAATCCTGTCCCCGTCGGGGATCGAACCTGAGTCGTCCAGTCACGACTGAGCTATCCCAGCACCTACGAGGTTATTAGATACTGAAATTATGAATAAGAACGTTGATTTGGCGAGGATATTTTTTTTTTAATATAAAAAATTCGTGATTTTTCGTCGTCATCAAACAATGTTACGTCATTTGTTTACTCGGCATTGTCATGTCATGACTTGAATAAATGAAATCAGTCCCCCAGGAAGGACTGAGAACAGATACCCGAGTCCTTACCTTTCCTGGCCACCAGGGGAAGCCGTGGATCTTGCCCCAGACGACATCCCCCACAGCCATCTGCCTTCCATCTCCAGTGACACAACAGGCCACTGTCTGCGTCGATATCCTCATCATGAGGGGATGACTGCTTGGGGGTGGGAAATCGGGTAGTGCCTCGCCGTGGTCATCGGACAGCTCCGAGTTGCTACAACTGCTGGTTCCTGGACTCTTAGAGCCGTTCGAGCCCAGGTAATCGCAGCGCATATAAGCATTTGCGTTCAGACGTTTGAGGCTTATAGACAGCTTCTGTTTGAGGCACCGCTCCTTGATAGCACTGTACGAATCACTGGGTGTCAGAACGTTCCAGCACTTCGGGTCTCCCACACCCTTCACCAGCATCGGTTCCCCTGCGTCGTCCTTGCTATGACGTCGTTTCTTCTTGTGTTTCACCTTGTGTTTGTGCTTCCGGTGGTAAAGCGCTTCATACGCCGGGGAACTCCCTCCTATGACGGCGTACGCCGGGGATCCCCCACCCAATGACCTCGGGGAATCCCTACTCGCACTCAACATCTTCCTCCGAGCTTCTTTCTTCGCCTTCTTCAGCGCCCTCTTGGCGGCCTTCGCACTGGCATCCTTAGTTTTCTGCTGGTCCTCAGTCTCACTCTCGCTGGGAATGTACTTCTGTACCTTGGCAGGGATCTTCAGGACGGTGCCTTCGCCCTGGGTTCCGAAGGATATCTTAATGACGGGCGTGGTGCGTGCGATTCGCGCCTTTCTCATGCTGTCCTCGAATACACTTTCGTCCCACAAGTCTTCCATGGAGCCCACACTACGTTTTTTACGTAGAACCATGCGTTCTTTACGGTCAGCCAATCCCTTAACCGAGGACGCGCTGTCAGCTGTCCACGTCACGTCCTCCTCAGTCTTATCACTCACAATGTTATGTACAGAAGAATGATCAGAGTCGTAATTGTGGTCCTCGACTAGCATTTTGGGGTCCATAGAAACGCAGTACACTTTCTTACCCCCCTCGTCCGGTTCCCGAAGACCATCACCCTGAGAACCTACCGTCGGTCTAACCCAGTATTTCTCCACAATTTTTATTTTGTTTACGTTCCCACTTAAGGCGTTGGAGATTTCAGTGGGTTGCAGTCTCGATATTTTGGGAATGAGAGAGGAGCACAATTTCGAATTCTCCGAAGGGGGGCTCATACTTTTGATAGGCTGGTTCTCTCTCTGGTTCTCGGAAAACAATGGCCGTGGACTCCTCGACGGGACTTCGCCTGGGGAACACAACTTTTTGTCCACCTTCGCGATCTGCTCTGCTCCCTTCCGTTTCCTCGAGAGGTCCACATTCTCGGAGTTCTCGTTGCAGATGCTACGACACTTTGAACACAAAACTTGGCGAGGACGGAGACGAACTGTCATGCGGGAATTCTTGTAACGCGCTGGCGGACGGATTGTCCTCCTCAGATGAAACGGCTGTGGATTAACATTCTCTACGTTCTTGCTGGCTGGTGGCGGAGGCTTATCCTGGAAGTACGTGAATCTCTGGGTCAAGCTGAAGAGCTTGTCCTCATCGGTGTCGGGTTTGGAGCCGCTCTGCTGGGACACTACGTTGATCGGCGCGGAGATCCCACATGGCAGATGTCTGGAACACAGCACAGACGTGTCTGCAGATTTACACAGTATCACAGTGCCCACGCCTCCAGACGCAGAAGGCGTCTATTCTATCTGAAGACACAGAGGCAAAGCCAGAGATCGTATTTTTCTTTTCTGGAGGCAGTCGACACTGCCAAAAGACAATTCTTCAGTAATTTGAACAATACGATAAACTACGGAAATTATTAAACCATGCGATATGCATGTCGGATTTAATGCTTTTATTTATTTATTTATTTTATTTATTTATTATTAACTGCAAATGGGTTTTTACCCGGTGGCAGTGGTCCTACAATAAGACACAACAAAACAATGAGACAGAACAAAACAATCTACTATAAAAATTTGTGATTTGTCGTTTTCGTCATAAAATGACGTCATCAAACAATGCCACGTTATATTTGTTTACTCGGTATTGTTGTGTTCCACAACAATGACGAGTAAACAAGTAACGCTTCACAACAAAGGAATCAAAAACTACCAAGCCAGTCGCATTATCACTGCTCTACAAGCAGCACGTCTCATTCTTGAATATTGACTGACAGTTGGCCTAAAACATCA